TACTCCATTGTTCTTTTAACTGCATGATGGGACTTCTTCCCTATTCTTAGGGTAATGCTCTGCTTCATTATATTGTAATTATTTTTATTGTTTTTCCCCCACATATACTGGTGTTACAAATACTATATAATCAAAAATTATAAAGTTTTTATTACATTTGAAATATATTGAAAAAAAATAATCAGGAATGCAGTGCGTAGGAATGAAACATCTTTGAGAAGATAATATTCTCATGTATTAATGTGTGTGTGTGTGTGTGTGTGTGTGTGTGTGTGTGTGTGTTTTGGGGTGGGGAACAGGAAAGGAGATAATGTGTTTATCTGGAAATATGCACAAGATAAATATATTTTACTTAATTTTTCTCAGATCAAGAAATTATAGATTATAATATATTGCTCTCTACAAAGAGGAAAACTCCTGAAATGATACAAATTGCCAGAGAATGCTGCCTTAGGGCTTATAAAACACTTTAAAGTAAATGACCTGATAGAGGTTACAATTAGAGTTAAAAATTTAAAAATTATTCATTTTACTCACAGTAATTTGTCAAAATTAAAACAGCCAACATTTATCCTAATGTTGAACAATGGACTCCACATTATTTATTGTGACCTAGGAAAAGTACTCAAAATTAATTAAAAGCATTTCCTGGTCAAGTTCTTTGATGGAGGAGGGGGAACCCTAGGAAAATTCTGAATAAGTAGAAATTTATTGGAAATGAAAGTCTCTTTCCCTTGTCCAAAGGTCATGTGACATATTGATCATTATATTTAAAAAAGGGGAAAAAAGCACAGAGAAAAACACCTAGAGTCAAAGTGGTTATTTAGAACAATGAAAATATTAGATTGCTTAATTGAGAAAAGATAAATGGGAAATGATAATATGTTAGAAGTTTGGAAAAAAACTTCCGTGTTTCATTTTGTACATTAAAACACAATATCCTAGGAAAATTGGAGGATAATTTAGTGCCAATGAAATTCTAAATTAAAGAATAAACAGAAGCAATTCACCATTAATACTTCATTTCCTTTGTATTTACTACATGACAGCTGTATCAGAGAGATGACATACTCAGTAAAGTAGGATTTGAAAATAATATATAAAAGTGTCCAATGCATGGCAGGGATGCAAATGCTTCTATGTGTGGAGATGTGGAAGGGCATGAAGGCGTCTTCGTGAAAAAGAATGGGCTTGTGCTGGGCCCTTAAGGATAGTAAGGATTTTCATAGAGGGTTAGGAAAACTTTTCAAATTGTTGAACATAAAGGCAGCAATGAGCAAGATGTAGCTGAGTAATAAAAAGGAAACTGACCTACCTGTACAGTAAAGGCTCAGATCCTGTATGGTCCAAAAAAGACTTGTCCTTGACTAGCTCCTTAGAGGCAGACTGAGCAATTGGAATGTCCAGTCTGATAAAAGTGCTTTTGTATGCCTAAGCCCTGGCCATGTGGTATCATTTTAGTTTCTGGGAGACTAGAGATTCAGAAGTCCTGTGGGAGCTGCACAGGCATGTTACTCAACCAGATAAAAACCCA